TAATATTGATCTTTAGGTTGACAAAAAAAAAAATTAAAGATCATGAGTATTATTTGTACTAGTATTTATTTTTAAATGCCAGAATTTTTAAATTTGTACCATTAATTGGGCATGCAATGCAACACACACAAGAATTAAAAAAAAAAAAAACGAAAAGTCTTTCTGATTATTCATTAAATGCAGTATTGATATTATCGGAGTAACAAAAGTCAAGAGACGCCAGCGATGGCGTCACCTTTTTTTGGACGATGAAATCATGACGTTATCATGACGATACGTTTATATTATTAATAAGATAATTAAAGTGAGTAAAACAATAAATAAAAAAGTAAATGTAAAGTTCAAAAAAAAAGAAAAAAAAAAGAAGCACGTGAGAATGTTGACTTGAAGAAGCAGTCGTGTCAAATGCATTGAGCCCCAAAGTTTCTTCATCATTCCCAAGACACTGCCCATTCTTGTTGCCCAAGCTTCCCAATCCATTTAAAAAAAAAGATTCCATAATTTGTTAATAGTTTTTTGGGCCTAATATTTAATTATTTATCAATATAAAATTTTTAAGAATAATAACTGATCCATCCACTATAATGAATAAAAACATTATCCAACTGTTAATCTCTAAAAAGTAAAAACACATCTATGTGTTAATGGAAAAATTTTAGTTGATTAGTGTTGTTCACACTTAAAGACGATTTTGAAAAAAAAAAACTTCAGTGGATTAAAGTTATTTTTTAATCTGTATAGTGATGTGACCAACAAAAAAAAAATCTGTATAGTGAATATGGCTGATTTTTTTTGTTTTGGTATACTTTGTGACAAATGTGATAAATAATAATAAGTGATGAAATTATTTTCTTGTATATTTTGTGATAATAACTGATAAGTGATGAAATTATTGTCTAGTTATGGACAAAAGGACCACTAGATTTGAAAATCCTCCAAATGGATGGGCCTACTAAATTATGGGCCCAATTATCAAAGTTAAAACTCATCACATAAACTTCAGTACTTAACCATCTTCTGGGTTTTATCTCAAGGTTGGAACTGGAACAAGAGTTAGTTAATTGATTCTGTTAATCACCAGACCAATCTAACGAGGTTGCAATAAACCTTGTTAGAACAATTAACTATTAAGTAAAGCTATTTCGATTATGAATTAAAATATTTTATATCTTAGTGAAATTCCAAGACAAATATTTACAAAATGCCGTGAAGAGTTCACTACACTAATTATACAGACTTTGTTAAATTTATGATTCAGATTCCAAATCAATCTCAAAAACCTTGACATGACACAAATCTCCTCCTGCGTCATCTGCAAATTTGATCTTCTTTTCCTTCTGAACAATGTTTTCAGTAACTGGAGAGTCTTCTCTGACCATACCCTATAAAAAATGAAGAGAATGCAGAAAAGATTGAGACAAAAAATCTCAGGTTAAGTTTTGTGTGTTGTGAATGTAGTAAAGAGTGTAACACTAACCATGAGTTTGCAAAACCGATTACAGTCTCGTTCAATTATCGAAAGCCATTTCTTGCTACTCTCTTCGGTTTTTTCTGCATTTCTAATCAAAGTTTTCACCTGAAAAGAGACATCCAGAGAAACACAGATTAACTCAAGAAGAGAAAATGAAGAATTAAGACATTTAAAACCAAAGTTTCAACTGCTTTCATAGAGAACAGAAGTACCTCATCTAAGTTAGAGTCAGGCATGTTGGAAGTGTTGCTTTCAGCTAGGAGGCATCTCTTTGTAATCTGTCTCATCGATTTCAGCTCTTTTGTGAGCCTAGTTGCGACAAACTGGAAATCACGCACTTGCCCTTGAGTGAAGGCAATAGCTTTCTGTGAGCATCCTTGTATAGAGGTGCATCCAGTGCTAAAAGGTGGTCGTTTTGCTGCTCGAGTATCTCGTCGATGAAACTTGCGTGTGGCTCTATGATACTGCGTTTGCTGAGTATTATTATTTGCTTTCTGAATGGCTTGCTTTGAATTTGGAATGACTTCCACTCGGTCGATGTTGTCTAGTCCTTCAGCCTTGAGTATCCTATGTGAACTTTGGCTACTGAAGTAGAGTTTCCCTTTGGATTCTGCAATTTTGGTTTTTGTACAATAGATTAGAATCCAAATGTCAAAATAGAATACGAAAAGACATTAGAGATTTAATCAGTGACTTACTTTTACTCTTCTTCTCAGGTGAATCGGGGTGCTCCATCGCCTTACGAAGTTTTGCTTGAGAGGTGGGAGATAAAGCCTGAAAACAACAAATGCATCTAGTGAGAAACTGCTTTAAGATAGAATGTGATTAGAGAAAATGATTCAGACGACAAGACAAACCTTTCTTCCTGAGAGTAGTTTTTCAGGTTGATTGTGTAGCTTTTGTTGCTCGATACTGTCAGTCTCTGCACCTGTTGTAATCTCGTCAGGAGCCTTATAGAGTTGTGGTCTTTTGTGGTCTTCTGGTTCATCTACATTCCCTGAGGATGCATCAGGTTGTTGTTGTTGTAATCTTTCTGGAACTTGATCTTCTTCTAATGGAATTGCGCTATCATCAGGAACTAAATGCAAATTAGCCAGTAAGTTACAACAGCTGGTCAGCTGGATAACATCAATTGCTTCAGGAAGCTCAGCCTTAACAATGTCTTCAGTTTCCCACACAATCTCGGTATTTCCTACCTCGAAATCCGAGGAATCAGTAGCAAGTATTTCTGGAGCTTCTGTCTTCACAATCTCCAAACCAGTTATGGGCATGTACAAGTTAGCAAGTATTTCTGGAGCTTCTATCTTCACAATCTCCAAACCAGTTATGGTCATGTCTGACTTAGGCTTTGAATTGTTGCTTTGCTCATCCTCTTTAGCTTCTTCGCTCCCCGGGATTGTATTAGAATAATTGAGGTTCTTGACACAACCAATGGTCTGAGATTCTGAACTTTGTGGAACCACCAATTCCATTTCCTCTCTGGACACACTACTGTACAAAACATTTGCCTGGTTTTCAATATCAATATCATCAGCGACGCAGCCTCCCGCTTTCTTTGCATCGTTAAACTCGTCTGATGCATCTTCCAAAGTTTTATCCACAGTCCCTGTAGTAATAAGCTCTTCAATGGCTACCATTCCAGAAGAATTCGGCTCTGGACTGCGATAAAGAACCATTCTTGTGTCCTTGGACAATTCATGCATAATCTCTTCCACCAACTCTACACTTGTAGTAGATTCTGACTCTTTGTTACGATCTAGCAAAGGATCAGTGGGAACGAAATCCATGGCTTCAGAAACTGCATAGCTATCATCACAAGCCTCAGACTTGACATCACATAACACAGGCAAATCAACTTGTTTTGCAGATGGAGAAGAAGTAGAACCACTCTTTGTTTTAAGCTCTTGCCTTCTCTTTCTTCTCTTGGAGAATTTCGTATTCCAACTGATAAGAGTCTCCTCAAGATCACATCCTTCACCTTCAGTTTGAAGAGTAAAGGACTCCTGTTTAACTTTAACTTGTGAGGCCGTCTCAGCATCGCCGCGGTTTCTAAGCTTCCTTTTATTTTCTCTGCATTGTTTCCGAATTTTCTCGAGCGTCATGTTAAAACCATCTGGAACAGGTTTGACATTCACCTCAGCACCAACCTTACACGAACCTTGTGTCATGCCAGAAACATTGTCCAAATCCCTGACTACTGTCCGGATCGACGTATCATCTTTGGTGTTTTCTAGATCGTATACATCCACCAACTGTCTAAATTTGAGCTTTGATTTCCCTCTTGCAGCCACATTCAACACTAGTTTGACCGATCCGTCTTTAATGGCCCGGATAGAATGCGATTGGGAATGCAGATGAGTTCGAGTTCTTAACTCCACCATTGTAACTAACAGACAATACTTCCTAACAAACTGATTAAGCTCGAAAAAACCCAAAATCTACGCCAAAATCGAGCTCCTGAATTGGAACAAACAAAGAAATTTCTGATAAGTATATCCAAAATCATTACATCAACGAATGAAACCAATACCAAAATCCCAAATTTCAACGAACATAAAAAACTAGCTACTACGCAAATGGTAGCTAAACAATATACAGAAATGTGTTTAATCTGATTATAAAAAAAGGCTAAAAGTAACAAAATTTAAGTTCCAGGAAGCAGAAATTCGTTAATCAATTGCAGAAACCCGGAAAAAAAAATATAATTTTGAAGCTGTTAAAGAAATGCATGCAATTAAAAATTTGGGTAAATTCATACATGGGCAAGGCGAAAAAACCCTAATTCGCTACACCGAAATCTTGTAGCTGCATCAATTCGTGAATGGTAAAGTAGATGAACATGCAACAAGAGAGAAATTGAATCTAGAACTGTGAGATTAGAACATGAGTTTACCTTAAAATCTTAATCGGCGCTTAATTAGATTAAGAATGAAGAATGTCGAATTCTGGGCTTCAAAATCGCAACTTGTCGATCTAGGGTTTACGCATGTCACAC